GGGGGGGGGGCTGATCCTCCCCCCCCCCCCCGTTGGGCTGGCTGCTTCCCTCGAAGCGTGGACTGGAAGTGGGGGGCACATTCCACCCCCCCAGTTGGGCTGGCCCCTCCCCCTGAGGTGTGGCCTGGATATGGGGGACGCAACATTCCCCCCAACTGGGCTGGCTCCTTCTCCAGAGGCATGGGCTGTGTATGGGGAGGCACGTTCTCTCCTCCTCCTCCCCCAAACTGGCCAGCAGGGTGTGGGGGTGTGTGTGTGGGGGGGGAGATATTTCCCTCAGCTGGACCAGCCAGCTGGTTCTCTACCCTGATGTGTGGACTGGGTGTGTGGGAGAATAGCCCTCTCTTCCCCTCTGCCCCCCCCCCACTTCTGGAACCAAACTTGTAAAAGTGCAAGATGTAAGGGTGTTCCAATCTTTGTCAGGTCCCTAAATTTGAAATATCTATTCCTGGATTTGACTCCTCTGTAATATCTTCTGACCTCACCCTACCAGCATCATGGAGTGGGACAAAACTTATCTTGTTGGTAATGTTTGTGTGTCCCAGCATTTGATTTTGGCTGAGAGGATGTTTTATCCTGTGTGAAGTGTATTCCAGAGGTTGCTTTGCTATAAAACTATTTTGGAAGCCATTTTTGTCATCATTACAAAGCAACCTCAGTGTCTTTAATTTCTCTAAGGGTTTAGTAAACCATGATCTTGGCTTTCTTTTGTGGGACAGAGGAAGTGGTTTACAGAGGTGCTTGTTCCTTGATTTGATAGTGTAATAAGTAATTTAATGTTCAAATTTCAGTGTCTAATTGTATAGTCAAACTCTTAAGACTGAGACCTGCTATTTAGAGCCAACTGCTTTGGAAGGAGCCTTGTGTTGTCAGGTTCTTATTGCCCAAAGAAGGCTGAATACTGACCACTAAAGATGTAGCTCCAGAAACCCTTTTAGGTTGTCTTGCCTTGCAGAGTATTGTTTTAAGTACTGGACATGTGAGCTTTGTAAGGAATGACTATTTTTGGACATGCCTACTCTAAAATGACCAATTATAACTAAATCTTGGAGCAGTTTTAATATAAAACAGCCATCATGGGCTCTTTCAGATCTTTGTACAGTGCTACTGTTCACCTCTTGAACTAAGAACAGTAAATGTGTTGAATAAAAGTAACTAGTGATTGTGTAGGAGAGTAGTCCTATTGCAGTTCACAGGTTAAACAGGGTTATTTTTTATGCTTTTCCTGGTGTTGACATAGCCTAAGCACAACTACTTTCATGCAGTAGTAAATCTTGCATTACTTGCCTCATATTGTGGTGAATCTCTGCTCCAGTGGTTGTTGTAACCATTATCTCTCACTCACTGATCTCACTTCCTGTTTTGTCACTCCATAAAGTTCCTGGAAGATGAAGGAAAAAAAATTCCTTGTTTTCCAGGATCTGGGTGCATTTTTTCTCATTTTGGTTCAGCTAAGTTTTGTTAAAGATGCATCAGAATGTAGCAAATGGGCCCTTTAACATTTATCTTTCTGAAGAATGAAACAGCAGTTGTTGCAAATGTTCACAAGTAAGATGTGCTGAAAAAACACCCAGTGAAATGGTGTGCTGCAGAACACTCAGTGAAACTTTAAAGATATCACTTAAACCACCTATTTGAAAATATTTTAGATATAGCCACTTGCTGTAATACTATAATGAAAATCTGCATGTATTGAACCTTGGATTTAAAATATTAGTTTATACCTTGTAATTGAAAAGCAGCTCTGAAATGTGTCACAGCACATAGGGTGTGTCTAGACTACCTAGTTTTGTCGACAAAAGTGGACTTTTGTCGACAAAACTATACCAGCGTCTACACTACCGCTGAGTTCTGTCGACATAACGTCTGTCGACTAATGAAAATCTGCATGTATTGAACCTTGGATTTAAAATATTAGTTTATACCTTGTAATTGAAAAGCAGCTCTGAAATGTGTCACAGCATATAGAGGGATGGAACTCAAAAGGGAGAATGTAAAGGTTCCCTTCCTGCCCCACCTCCCCCCATATTTAACTTAAGTGAACTTTTGTATGTTCTTCCATTTAGAAAGCATCTTTTTGCTTTTTCCCATCATTAGAACCATCTGTCAGGGCAAAGGTATACAACAAGTAAAACCAAGTTAGGGAATCTGTTTACAGCAGCAATTGTTATCTGGCAAGGTTACAATCCATTTGCCTTTTGCATTGTAGAAAAGTATATCCAATGCTCTTGTCCTGGTTACACTACTGTTTACACTGAATTATTTAAGCCACCATCTTAAATTACAAGCACTACAAAAATTGTATTATGTGGACATATTAAGGGATAAGTCTTCTGTATGGAAAAACAAAAAAATTAAATTTATATAAACTGGTTACATCTCTATTCCAAATGTTATCTCTAGAAGAAAGAAGTGAGCATAAGGGAGGTCTTACGGATGAGGACACTGAGTTCAATCACTTAGAGTAGCATGGATGATATTTTTTATTCCTCCCCCACTCCCCTTCCATTAAATCACCAGACTTTGCAGAACAAACATTGTAGATCCTCCTCGACAATGTCACAGGCTGCGAACCTTATCTCCAAATCTGTGTGGATAATGCTGGTGTTTAGGGTAGAGGCCCACCTAGAACAGAGTCACAAGTGAGTCAGAGGAGTTGTTGCAATTTGGCTATCTCCTGACTCTGTTCAAGTGTTCATTGTGAGACTTACAAAAGTTGGGTTTTATCATTTCTTGTTGTCCTTCATGTTCCTACTCCAGCGTGTTGCCCTTCGTGTTCCTACCTTTGGACTGCCACAAGGACAGGATGGCTGAAGCTGCACTGCAGACAGCAGATGAGATCTCTGATTTTTAGTCATTTAACAAGTTTTTACTTTTACCTCAGAAAAAAAAATCATTAGCAGCCATTGACCTTTTAGGACCTTCTTTAGGATTAGATCTCAATTTATCAATATAACTTCCATAGCCATGTTGTTAACCAATCTGTTATTTAAGCAGCAGATCACTTAGCACAAACTGCTGCCCACTGTGAATTTATGTATTCGATATGCGACAAGGAGTCCTGTGGCACCTTATAGACTAACAGATGTATTGGAGCATAAGCTTTCATGGGCAAAGACCCACTTTGTCAGATGCATCTGTTAGTTTATAAGTTGCCACAGGACTCCTTGTCGCTTTTGCAGATTCAGACTCTCACAGCTACCCCCTCTGTATTGGATATGTTATACAAATCTTAAGATGACTTCACTGCACATTGTCACTTACCCCTTCTATGAAACCCTTCCATGCTCATCCTGATCTTTCATTTTACAAGAGAGCCATTTATAGAAACTTTCAACCAAAATGATGGTTGTCAAACTGGGCGGATGTTTCATTGAGCTACAGCTCAGTGAACCAGCAAATTCACTTCCCCATTTCTGAATTTGGATCTGACTGCACTGACAATCAGCTGATCGTTAGCTATGCTTGACAGGAGAAGGTTTTATTGCATCTTGCTCATTTTTCTCCAACTTGGTTATTAAAAGAAGCTCTGCTAAAGCTGCACAGACCTTTTGGTCTGGGTTTCAGACCTTACATTATTGTCTCATACTTGCTGTTTATGGAAAAACCTGTTATCTGAAAGCCACTGCTGTTTAGAATGCTAGTAAACCTTTTCTGAGCCTCTCTGTCCATTATTAGTGAAGGCATTATTTTGTCATGTAGCAAGTCTCATTGCTGCCTCTGATGGAGATGAACTTAGAGAACTAAGTTTGTATGTATTCATTTGTATCCTAGAGGCTCTAGCTGGGTTGTGTATGTGTAGTGCATAACACAAAGCAAACTGTTTTCCCCAAAGAGCTTGCAGTCTTAGTATAAGATGAGGCCATACATTGATGCAATAAAGGGGGAGGTCACAAGACTAACAGTGAGATGATAAGCGTAATGTGATGTTATCACTGCTGACCAATTGCCTAGCCATTGTATAGGTTGGCTCTCTCTGGTCCGGCACCCTTGGGACCTGACTGGCCTGCGCTGGCACTGGGTTAGGACTCCAGCCTGCCCCTGCTGCTGCCCCATTCCACCAGGGCTTTCTAAATGCTGCTGGCCCTGCTGCAACTTAGGCAGAGCTGCGCAGCTGGGGCCGGAGTTGGTCAGCCACCTGGCCCTGCGACTGGGGTTGGAGCTGTGCGACCAGAGCTGGGGTCAGATCGCTACAGCCACTGTTGAGGCTGGAGCTCCCTGCTGTGCTGGCCTTTCCCTGCCTCC